CTCCTCACACCCTATTGGCATATTCATCGCCCTGATGACGGAGGCAGTATGACCTCTGAAACGTTGGTTAACATCGACCAGACTACACAGCGCAATAACCCAGAAGACAGATATCTTCAAACCTTACTTCTTGTAAAGCAGAATCAAGTACAAAAAACATTACAAGTGGACAGCTGGAGAGTTACTTAAGCAAATTAAAACTCTGGCACTGGTATTAACATAAATGCACAAAACAAGGAATGAGCTATTTCCAGAGAGAATCATTATCAGAATAAATGTATCTGGATTTGAGATTTTCAAGGCTGTGAAAATTCTGACAGTGAACTTCCTGGTTCTGACACCATATAACTCTGCTAATGGTTACCAGCATTACAGCAAAACTTAATACCGCCATCTTTAGTGTTGAAGATGGAGGCAATAAGTTCCTGCAAAATGTTGCTAACCACATATAAGTTTGTACAGTATCACAACCCAGAAGACCACAAACTATAACAAATGTATCTTGAATTAACTTCACAGTGAGTTTATGTAGTGCCATAGCAGAAATCAATGTCTCGTAACGTGGACATGGCAGCACAGAAAAATTATACTATTTTGCTATACCAGATTGTTTTCTGCAATGGAGTTTTATGTAATAAGCAACAAATGTACTAGTGAATACATTATATATTAGGGACAGTTCAATTATAATATCTGTATCAGCATTAGTAATTATACAGGAGTTACATGTGAATGCAAATAGGACGGTTACAAACCTGTAAACTGGTAATGATGAAAACGCACATTACGCGTCATTATTTTCTCTGTGATACAAAACACAATAATAAAGCAAGGTATAAAATAAGAGTTGGGGTGCACACAGAGTTGATAGAAATAAAGGGTACTAATGCAAAGGAAATGTATGAGAGATTCTTTGTTAAGAACGCAGCTGAATTTGTAAAGACCAGAATGACAAGCACGATAAGAAAATGACTTTAGGTATTTGGTAGTAAATTTAGGATTGTGGACATGAGTCATTTGTTCACAGTAACGGCGGAAGAGGATTTATGGGAAAGCAAGGCAAGTTCTCACATCAATGGAATAACTGAGGATGCATTTACTGTACATAAAAATAGTGTACCAAACTGAGCTGATGCAAAATCAATAGATATATTACAACTAAACAGAAGAAATTATGGTTGTGAAGATAAACACAAAAGACTGCAATACTCCTTGACAAGTGTTCAGCTACAAATTCCCTAGTGTTACGAAACCTGATACAAACACCAGCACAATATCCGGAACCAGTTTGATGCAATTTGCTTGGTCACAACCTATTTCTCAGTCATCTATTTTAATAAATGATTCCACAAGTTAATGGTTCTCAACCCAGTTCTCTGCTCAACTTGTATCCTATTTAATTCATTTATGCAACACACTCAGTGCCCATGTCTGTGACGTAAAATGAGAATGCTAAGAGGTCAAGAGTAATAATCCCCTCTTTGGAAATGAAACTGATATTTACTGCTGGTTTTAAAGCTGACAAAGTAGCAGTCGATATCAGATGTAAACACAGAACACCACCAAAAATTTTAAGAACAAATGTATTTATTTGTAGTTTATTTAATGACGCTTTCAGCATCCCAAACTATGCAGCATCGAAGGAGATGATGACAGTGAAAGGATGTGGTCATGGCCTAATTTTAGGTACTATCTTGGCATTTACCTGGAGGGACTGAGGAAGATTACAAAAAAAAATCTGTCAGTATAGCTAGTCTCTAGGCTGAGATTTTAACCGAGGACCTCCTAAATAAGCAGTACTAACCACTAGACAACAGTCGGTTGGAACAAATATAGCCAATTAACAGAACTATAAAAATGATGCAAAAACTACAGTTCCTGGCACAACTGTGTTTTTGAGAACCCAAGAATACATTTTGCTGAAAATGGAGAAGTTTCCGATTTTTACTTCTGACAAGGGAGTAAATGCATTAGGCAGAAGAATAAGATTCTTTTCAACACTCTCAAGGCTACTCTATACTGGTATTTATTTATCCAAAAAAATTTACTTCCTGTTTCAGTTGGTTTCTTTGGGATGGATTGCCATTATAACATACTGCTCCAAATTTGTCTTTTTCCTTGACTGTCACACTTTTAAAGATCAATTAATGATGGATATCGAGAGCCCACTGTACTATAACTTCACTATCACTAAATCTGCGGAATTCTTTAAAAAAATTCTCAGTTACCTCCACTTCAATCTTCTGCCTGATCAGGACGATGTTAAACACATCCATGACCTTCTCACAATTATCAAGGGTTGTCTGAAGATCAGTTGGTACTTTACGAGAAGTTAACTTGTTCTGGTACGCCTCGGCATACGTACGACACATTTGACAAAATTTGGACATGTGGTCCCAATCCCAGTTGCGTTGTCGACGACGTACCGTTTCTTCCAGCACGCAGCTATATGCAAAGTGCCACCTGTGCAAAAAAAAAATAAATGTCAAAGCAAGCAGAGCACAATTAAAAATTCAAAGAGAGTACTTACAGGAAAAAATGTTTCCTCCGAGTTATCCGTATGAGATGAACTTTGCCGGATACTGTAAACTCCCGAATATCTGGGCTAGTGAGGAGAAGATATACAAATGACCAGAAAACATGGATAACCCAAAATATTTTATTTGGTGCATTCACAAAACACCACAAATTTCTTCAGGCCTTTAATACACAACAGTTATTTTGATAAACTGTTTGTAATGGTTGCTTGTTTTTGTGAAATGTTCAGACCCCTGACATCAATCTGCAGCCATTATTCAATTCTGTCTTTACTGACATTTTTCAAAAATTCTCATAGCATACGCCTTGCCAAAAATTTCAGACTTGTTGCTTTCTTCATTATCAAAACCTTGCAAATCATCTTCTAGATCTGGAAGAAGTTTCCTCCAAGATCAAATCAGCATTACTGGAGTCACAGAAGACCACGCCCAAAATATGCTGTATACAGCGTCCAACACCTTTTTTATAATGCTTGTATGTTATCTTCATCAGCAATCATATTTTAAGCCCAGTAGCATCACTTCATGGATTCAATCACTCTTTGGTCCATGGGCCTAAAATAGCTGTGATGCTGAAGAGAAAAACTTCACAAAGATGAGGCCATCACCAAAGATCCATAATCTCTGTTAGATGAAAGCAGCACAGTCTAGCAGAAACACTGCTTTCTGTGATAATCCGTTCATAAAGCCCAAACTTCTGGGAGGGGGGGATGCTTGTGGAACCCATTTAAACACCTCCTTATCCACCCATGTTCCTTTCTGGCTGTAATAATGGACAGGCCTGCAGTTTGCTTTGCTACCCTTGAATGATTTTGGGTTTTCCAGTCGCAACAGATTTTCAGTTTGTGATTTCTGGATGCATTTTCATAACACCAGTGGAAAGCCTCTCTTAGGCAATTTTTTTTTGTACCTAACAGAGATATTTAGTGGTTTATAATTCAAACAAGAAACTACACCAGATTTAGAAGTGTGACAATTGATTCTCAAAATGAACAGGTAAAAACACATAAGCTGTAGTGTAATATAAAGAATATGCAAGGGAGAAAAGCACATGAACACTAAGACATCGCTATAACCAACCAAATATCTTTAATTTAATTTTGAAATAAAAACTCTTACCATTCTTTGTAGTGACCTCTGTAGCTTGTAACAAATGGTCGATACTTCCTATACGGGGCTCCCCGAGACATTCTTTCAAATGACTCCAGCAGATCAATCAGGTCATGATACTGAAATCTGCTTATTGCTGAAAAACATTAAAGTCAAGACGTAAACTGCAAGCATATTATTTTTCATGAATTTAAGTCTTATGTCTGCACCTAAATGTCTTGAACACATTACACATCTGAGAAGTTTCATATGAACAAATATTTATACAGGTTACAATGAATGAAAGGGCACTCTGCATAAAAGAATACAAAACACAGTGCTATTTTAAAATAAAAATAAATCTTCAATCACATCTCAAAATTAATTTAAAGTAAAACTTTCTTAAACATGTGATATTAAATTGTCTCCCAGCATCCTAAATTAAAATGTTATAAATTTTTAATGTTTTGCACAAAAAAAATTGTGAAGTACTTGAAATTTTTGTTCCATGAATGTTAGAAAAAATCTCTTAAGAGAACTTTCTGCTGAAATTCAAATTTATTTTCATGCAGAAACATGACAATCTAATATTTTAAGAGAAAATTACTTAGGATGGAGAACTTAGCAGAACGTACAGGCTTTATGGCAACCATAAATTGCAACACTGCATGCCATTTACATCTGACATAAGAGAAAAATGTTTTCTTAATGGCATTAAGACACTAAGACATTTTCACAATGAGGTGGCTGCAAATTTTGTAACAGGTGGTCTTAGCTCATCACATATGAGTCACATTTCACATGACTGTAAAAGAATTATGCAACTAACAGTACCAGTAGTCACTTCCTGAGGTGAATAATATAGTATTACGTAACAGGAGCACTCAACTACCCACATTTCCAAGCAACAAAACAGCAGTTACTATGTGTATTGATTCTGTAACATCCTTCTTCTAATTCAGATTGAGTCTTCAATATGTGGTCATAATCCATGAACAATTAAATGTTATTTATGATCATAAAAACTGTTCCTTACTTTGGGGATATTAAAAAATCCAAAATACTCAAGAAATTATTTTAATTATAATATTTCTTCAAGGAAATTAATCATGACTGTCCTACACATTAAAAAGAATATATTTATTCCTTCCTTAATGTGAGACATCAAGTCTCGCATCCATACAAAACAAAAAAGAAGTATAATCACTTCTGAAAATTTCTGATGATACTGTGTTAGTGAAATAAACTTCTTGAACTATTAAGACCATGGCTAATGTCCACAAAGTTTGTTATTTTTAAGTATAGGTACTGTTTTGTGAAAGTTAATCTTTATATCCCCAGGTAGCAATTTATGCACTCTATAATAGGAATCATTTTCCAAATTTAGACCACACTTAATTTCTTCAAGCAATTATCTGTTACTGTCATTCCAAAATATATAAACTTTGCTACATTTCTTAAGCATTTATTAACTACCTTTATATTATGGTCTGTCCTACAGTCTGATGATTAGTTATGAACATATAACTCTTTTCCATGTTTACTTTTAAATCAAACTCATTATTTTTGTTAACCAATAGAGTTTCAACATCAACAGCATAGACTGGACACTGAAATGTCCCATACAATTCCAACCTCTCCTTGTTTTCATGTACCTAATGATGTATTCATGAAATCTATAAATAGATAATGTACTGTCCCACTGTACTTAATCCACTTTTTCCTCCAGTATGTAATAAATGGTGAGCAGCTGGTTAGCAACATTTACAATGATGATACTTAATAGTTTTGTGTGCACATGGAGCTACTACTGACAGAAGAATACCAGATAACACTTTCTATGTACTTAATAATAGTGATATTCCTTGAAATTATACTCATATTTATCGCCCATTTCATAAACTAATTTAACAGTGTTGCAGCATCCTAAATAAAAATTCATGTTTCATTTCTTCAAAATACAAGGACCAAAACATTGTTTAGTAATAATGCTTACCAACTGATAGTTTTTCCATCTCCAAGGCAAGCCTGGCTTTTGGTATTTTGAAGTTTGAGCCATCATATTCTGGTTTTGGATTCAACTGCAGTTGTGCTGATGAATTGATTGGACCAAGCACTTGATAAAAAAAAAAATTATGTTATTCCAAACATAATGAGTGAAATACTAGGACACTTCTAGCTTAAAATACATGTCTCGTATACAAACGTCCAAAAGCCCAAATAGCTTTCATTCTCACAAAACATAAGATGTGCTCAGCACTAAGGTTCAGCAAAAGGTACAGTATTTTTCTAGGCAGCTGCTCAGACAGTCGGTATTCAGCACGCAGTAGCTCACACAGTGAGATACACACAGTCAGTCACAACCTTTTCAGTACAATTCCATTAAATCTTGTATGTCTGTTCGTGTGACTAGTGAGATGTAAGCATTCTTCGTGGTTTGTCAAACCACGCTAAGATAAAGCGCTTTGCTTTAATTTACTTTATATCACTTTACTTCAGAAGAAATTAATATTTTGGTTAACATGTTCCTCCAAAACTCTGGCAACCATCTCCAAATCAACACAGCATCACAAATCAGATCATAATGTACATCTTAGCCTCTATGAGATATTCAAATCTCATATTCCTTTGATTTGGCAACACTGCTCTATACACAAACAATCAAACCTGCTAAGTGGAAATATGTCTTAGAACAATTTTATGTGACAATGTCATATTTGAGCATTGAGAAACCACATTAGCGCATTAAATGCAAATGAAAACTTCACCTGTCAAAAACTCACAATGGCAGTGGTGGAAATTACGTTAATAAAATCCTCATGGGCTATCAGCCATCTCAAATGATAAAAGCTTGCTGACCGTTCAGGGACCATGTGTCCCTGTAATCAGGGCATCTGATACTGCTGTGAAAGCCGGCCATTCCACATCTATACCCGCCATGGGCCCGTGTTCGGATCCGGGCATCAAACAACAGGAGGCTATGTAAGACTTGAGGTTCTCACAGCGGTGAGTATGAAGATATCCGTCTTCTGGGTTATTGCGCCGTGTAGTCTGGTCGATGTTAACCAACGTTTCAGAGGTCATACTGCCTCCGTCATCAGGGCGCCCTGATGACGGAGGCAGTATGACCTCTGAAACGTTGGTTAACATCTACCAGACTACACAGCGCAATAACCCAGAAGACGGATATCAACAGGAGGCTAGTGGGTGGTGTCACATGATTGCTTTACATGGCCTTCTTTCCAAATTTCTGGATCTCTGTATTGCTTCAGCAAATTTACGACTGGGTACCAGGACCAAGTGAAGCCACAAACATGGTTAAAGTTTATGGACTGAAGCTTGATCTCGATGGCCTCGTTTACAATGCGATCTACGTATCCTGTTAACCTGTCCAGAATGGAGATGTGACTGTAATCAAAGCTGTGCCCTGAGAACTTCTTTGGCTGGCCCGGACGTATATGTCTCATACGTTCTTTATATCTCATTCTGCCAGTCTGTCCCACACAGACCATGCCACAACGAAGGGTACACGGTATACCTGAGACTTTTAGACCCACATTGTCTTTTATTGGTTTGAGCATTTTGTCATGGCTCATAGCCGAAGAGGATTTTATTAATTCAGTTCACTGTGAAAGTTTTAGATCATACATGAAAATGATGGCCAACTCAACATGGGCTCCAGCACTAATGTAATCAACGGTCACAAAACTAGCTTCTTAACGGCAAATGAAGGAAAGAGCATTCATAAGGTCAACTTTAAGTAAATCCTTTGGTACAGCACGTCAGTGTATTACTATTAACCATCAGGTTAGGGAACAGTTTTAAATCTCTGAAGGCACTGGAACTACCATCCCACATAAATACAATTACCAAATAATCAACTCCCCCCCCCCACTCACTTTGATACACATCTGTTTATACATATTATTATTTTTTTATTATTTATTTGACTGAAATTGGGTTTTTACCCGGTGGCAGTGGTCCTACAATAAGACACAACAAAACATAAGACAACAAAAACAATAAGAAACAACAGAACAATGAGACA